GAAATTGAAAAGAAAAAGTTGTCAACACGAAACTGAAGCTTTAAGGCATAAAGAAAAAAAAACTCTACGCAGGATTTCGTGAGATATAGAAGAAGAAACCAACAGCATGCGACTTTGCGAATTGAAGATGAAACCAGCAACGTGGGACTTCGTGGGATGAGAAACAAGGGAACACTAGCAACGTGGGACTTCGTGGGATGAGAAACAAGGGAACATTAGCAACGTGGAACTTCATAAGATTGAGAAGAGAAAGTTACCTGAACCAGAACTTTGGGAAATGGTGAAGACAAAGTTGACAACGCGAGACCAAGTGAAATTGGGAATATGATACATGAACAAAAGTGAAATTGTCAGTGGCAGGTTCTTCTACATAACAGGTGTACCTACGTCTTCCTGACAACAATCCTTTCAATTCAATGTACTCGGTACTATCGTAAAGAGACAGTAGATACATAACTTACAATTTATTTATTTATTTATTTATTTATTTTGGGTAGCCTGCAACCTATCTTTTCTATAAAGTATTTAAAAGAAAATAAGGAAACGTTGTAAATACACATTTTAAAGTCGAGAATGGAAACAAATTTTTGTTAATTATTTCTATTGCTTGATGAAGTATTAGGAAGACATAGGATGGACTTCATGGAATTATCGCCATGAAATCACAAGGAGCCAACTTTATGGGAAACTAAAGAGGAATCGGGCAAGAATGGTTTTTCGTGAAACATCAAAAAAGGACTAGAAGAAGATGACATCATGGGACACCGAAGAGGAGCTAGAAGAAGACGACATCGTGGGACACCGAAGAGGAGCTAGAAGAAGACGACATCGTGGGACACCGAAGAGGAGCTGGAAGAGGACGACATCGTGGGACATTCAAGATTAGGCAATTGCGTTTAGAAGTTTTTGTAATTGTAAATTTTTTTTTATTTTAATATACAATCTATTCTGTGATATTTTAATGAAATTTTTATTTCAGCTAATATTTATTATTCGTTAGATATTCTTGTTTCAGATTCGTTTACACACAGTTCCTAATTAAAACAGACTGTGATACATATTTTATATATTTTATAAAAGATTGTATGTATTATATGTATGAAGAGTAAAGAAATTTAATGAGAACTATAATTTATTTTTGATATGTAAAAACCATGTATTTATGTATTTGTAATATTTATGTATCTTTACCATAAAATTTGTGAATAAATAAATAAACGTAAATCGTGCGTCTACAGTGCATCTATACCTTCTATGTAATTCTAAGGAATAAATTGAAAGAGCAGGATTTTACTAAATTAACAGATGAATAGCGTTCAATAAGATATTTAATTTTTGTTTAAATTGTATAATTGTACAGAGTAGTAAATAACAAGTTCGTTAAAAATATTACAAATTAAAGCTTTAATCTTTTGATATCTTCTGTACGGAAATCAGTTCTTAAAGATGCGATGCGACGAACTTCACCAGGAGTCAACCTCCACGCAATTGCATCTGCGCCACAATAATCCGCCAATTCTTCCACTTTTTCGACGCTTAATATTGTAGCTATTTGTGTTAATCTTGCAAATTTGTCACGTATGGACCAAGAAGTAGCAGCAGCTAAATAGCTTGCCAATGATCTTATCTCTTTATCAAGTATAAGACCTCCAGCCTAAACAATTAACGTTGAACATAAAGCAACTATTAAAAGTTAAACAGTATACACTATGCTTACTCTATTAAACGTGGATTTAAGTACAACTTTCTCTAGTCGCGCTGTAACTTCAGCAGTGAGAAGACCGATTAAAGCATCGTAATTGGACGTGGTCAAACTGTCTTTAAAACTTCGAAGTAAGCCTTCTAAATTGGTGACTAGAGTTTGTACGAATGGCTCTTCCGTTTCATATCTTAATAAATCGTCCTACAAATATTTACAGCATATGAAAATAAGAATTGATGTACGAATATTCTCGTTTGATGTACCTCATTGACATGATGATCCACGGATAAAAATGCGTCTACCCAGGGAGTGACCCTTGGTTTAACAGCGCTTACTCGGAGCTGTTCTAATCCATAGTCGGTGACAGCTCGTAAGATCGATATAACACCTTTCAAACCGGATAAACAGCTGTCGATCTTACCCCTTTCTTTATCTTGCATATTCGGAAATGTCGCATCTATTTCAGCATTTAGACTCTTGCACAGGGTTTCAACATATTCGATGCTCACGTCGGTATTATTTAAGTAAGCCTACGTTGAATAATAAAATTTTAAACTTAGATAATTTAACATATAGCTTTCCATAGTTTTATCAATGTTACCAAGAACATTAGCCGTGCAAGTTCTGTGTCCGAAGTTTGCAAACGACCATGTTGAATACTTGTTTGAAGAGCACTGTATGCTTGAGCCAAATCTAAATATCCAGCTGGATACCCTTGACGCAATCGATTTCTTAATCCATTTGCAAACTCTCCTTCCAATATACCGCAAGCCATATTAACCACTGCACAAACCCCATCGATACTCCAGCTGGACATGGAACGCCTGTAAAAATATGATATTGGTAAAATGTAAATTAGAACACTATTTACATGGTAGTTTTTATGCATGATCTGAATTTAGTAAAACCGAATAAACTGTTATTTAAATTGAGGGATAGGTGTATATATTTATTATAATTTAAATACCTTATACATTTTTGCACGATGAAGAAAACATCATCCACCATGCTTGATGTTTCTTGATCCTGATCTAAGGTATCCATTCCCAATGCTTTGTTTACGCTTTCCTCAAGGAAATATCTTTCCAATGCGAGATACGCGCCTAAGAGTTCTTGCATTCCACGCGCTAAATCGGAGTTGCTAATTACGTTCTCAAATTCATTTATTAAATCTTTGCACTGTGCATCGTCTACTGCACTAATTTCTATATCGTTCTGTAGTCAAGATGTTTAATCTGATTAGAGATGCAATTTAAAAATTGGATAATATAAAATAGATGTACTGCTCACTTTAACTCTTCTCCTTAAGAAACGTATATATAATTCTGCTAGTGAATGCATTATAGTAATTTCCCCTAATAACAAATCAAATTCTTTCGGATCTGCTCTTTCTGAATTTGGTTTTCGAAGATAATCATTTACCATTTGTACTTTCTTGGCTATACATCTGTGCTTTGTAAATTCTGCAATAATTTTTTTAACTTGCCTGTAGAAAAAATGGAATGATGATAATAATAAATTCTTCCATCATCTTTAATCTTAGATATATCCTTTACCTATCACATTCTTTCTGCAGAATAGAAATTGTCATTAGCAATTTTCCAGGACCATAGTATGTTTCAATTATTGGTTGATGTATTTCTACAATACGTGCGATTCCTTCAAATAGTAATGTTATAGTATCAGCAAAAATCACAGATGCTCTTTTGTCATTGCTCTTAATTTCCAAAGCTGCTTTCAAATTTTTTTGTGCTGTTTCATGTAACTAGTATTGTAAATATATCTTTGAATGAAATATGTACTGATACAATTAAAAATATATACTGATCCCTTTGTTATTACCTTTGAACATAAGTAACTACAAAATTTCTTAAGCCCTTCGGAATGCATGCCCAATAGAGGAAATATTTTGAAAAATCTTTCAACAGAAGCAAGATCTTCCGACTTCACTGCTTCATCAAATTTATGTGTAATCACAGTTCTAAGTTGTAATGCTGCTTGTTGCAAAGTAATTAAGGAACTACTTATATTAGCATGGTCCATTGAAATATCTTCAGCTGTTCTTTCCAACAATTGTTGATCCATTGACAGATATCTATGTACATGTGCAGCTCCTTGTTCATAATCTTCATTACGCAATGCCATGGCTACACCTTCACTACATAATTGTAAATCAAGAATATCATTTACTCGTCTCTGACATTCATAAACTCTGCTCTGTCGATGAAATATTTCTAATTAAAACTTACACACCATACATTACTAATAATATAAAAGCCCATGGTATGATTAAACCTACCCTTGCTAAATCTAGTTGTCTTACTTTGGCACTCACATTTTTCGCCAATTCATTAGTACGCGCAATCATATTATAAAACTTCTCACCTTCCTCTCGTACTACAATTACATTAGGTAGCACCTTGCTTATATTTTGAAGTTTTACTTCTACGTGACATTGTCTTGAAAGAATATTTTCCAAAGTTTTCCTAGTCTTAATCTACAAATCAAGAGTTGCTATTGAAACAACAAATCTTATATTAACAAAACAAACGGAAAGAAAATAACAAGATGAAACAATAACAAACCTCATCTTCCGATAACTTATCAAGTATTTGTGTTAAATTCTGTTGGTTTATGGGTAAGTCCATGATATGCACCGTGTATTTCAAAAACCAACAGAATGTGTCTATAAAATATTTCTTTTATACACAAACCACTGCAACAATATGTGACAATTCTATTTGAAACTGCAGTATTTCCTTAAGAAAAGCTTAATGTATTCAAAGAAGGTACTACATGACATCAATAATTAAACATTCACTTTAATTGTACTGCACTCTTCAAGCATACAAATTTCATTTTTATTATTTATCAAAGTTGTCATTGATTTTTCATAACACGTATTATAGACGAAGTACGGGATAGACACAAACGTGCAAGTAAATTTTTCTTACACGCTCTCGGGGGTTCTAAGACCCCTTACCAATTTAATATCACGCTCTGCCATATCGACTGAAGCTGGTTATGCATGGCAGCGCTACAAGTGACAGGAATTGGAATCAAAAATATAGAAACTTACATAAGACCATACATAAACGAATTTTTGTCTATGGCTTCAGGGGTCTTAAGACCCCCTTACCATTTCAATGACGCACTCAACGTTACCGATAATACAAAATATTTATGCTCGTTTTTTCCACGAGTGTCATACGATTTAGCTGCAAAGAAATATTTATTTAATCGAACATATTGAAAAGTACACTAAATAACTTCCTGCATCATACACGAAAATCGTAAATATTATTATTTAAATAGTTACCTATCGATGATTGCACACTTCACATTTAAATTACAAAATTATCGCAGCCAATTAGCCTAACATAATCCATCACAGAAAATATTCTACTTGGGATAATGTTAGTTGCCCAGGTCTCACCACGTGGAGGTTGCTGCGAGGAGACCCTGGGGAGCTGGGTGGAAATTTCATTCCACCGACCTCCCGTTCTACATCTAAGTCTTATCTTTAACGCACTTATTGTTAACGCACTTATTGTTAACGCACTTAATAATAATCCCACGACGGCTGTTTTCTTTCTTGAGTCTGAAAATTAGTATCCCACGGTGGACGATCGATGTCTTCTTTCGCAATCTTAACTCTAACTTAGTTTAACCTTAACGGATAACTTAA